AAACAAACACATTCCTGTCATGAGTCAGCAGAAGTCTATTGTGAGAACCTGCAGCAATTGATCAATGTTACAGCAGAAAAGGTCAGTGTGAACCTAAGTAACTTGGAATAAACACAGAGATGAAAGAAATGGTGCTGCTTTTGACAACTAAATTCCATTTATCCAGACCCCTCTCTACTAAGGTTATATGATGTACTCTTTTCAAGAAGGGCTAGGGGATCTTTAATCCAGCTGGTAAATTGGAAGAAAGAGGCAAAAAGGCTCTCATCCAAAGGGCACCACCTCTAATGCTGCAGCTCCTCCTCTCTTTGTTACTACAGTGCAGTGCCAGCATCAAGTCTGAATTAAAGTTCTAGTTGAGTGTTGACCTCACACTTCTACACAGGGTGAATGCTACCAGAACCACCAATGACATTTTTATAGTGGTGTGTTTCCTGTCTAGCTAACAGCTATATTTTTCATGACTGAAATGATCTATTTTTAAAGTCATGTCCAGACATGCCCAACATGTTCAAATTGTAGTGCCTGAAATGCAACACCAGAACACATTGTTTGAAGAACATACAGACTGTGTCTAGACTGGCAAGTTTTTCCGCAAAAGCAGCTATCTACACTGGCCACTTGAATTTCCACAAGAACACTAACTTCCTACTGTCTGAAATCAGTGCTTCTTGCGGAAATACTATGCTGCTCCCATTCAGGCAAAAGTCCTTCTGCGCAAAGCTTTTGCGCAAAAGGGCCACTGTCGACAGCTCAGATTAGTTTTATGCAAAAAAGCCCTGATCGCGAAAATGGCGATCGGGGCTTTTTTGCACACAAGCACATCTAGATTGGCACGGACGTGTTTCTGCAAAAAATGCTTTTGCGGAAAAGCATCCGTGCCAATCTAGATGCTCTTTTCCACAAATGCTTAACGGAAAACATTTCCGTTAAAAGCATTTGCGGAAAATCATGCCAGTCTAGACGTAGCCACCTAGTCTAGACAATGGCACACTAGCTTTAGCACAAAAAAGGAGATACTGAGGGCATTTCAGTTGAATGACAAATTTCCCTATCCTGATCCTTAGGCAGCATTATAGTGTGTATGAGCATCTGTACATAGATGTAGACCCAGATGCATCCACAGGCGCGCGCGCACACACACACACAAAACCAGCTGCCAAACCTCCTCCTCTTGGGGAAGAAAGCCAATAATGTGAAATGCAATCCAGTTGCTTCCCTCATTCCTCCTCCCAAGGGGAATTATTTTAAAACTTCAAGCTCATTCTTTAGTAACAACATTGCCAAAAGAAAAAAAGAGCCATGGTTGGGGGCGTTCAATAAAAGAAAAACAGTGGAAAAAAGAGTGGAGAAGAAATTTTGGGCAATAAAGGGGAAAGGCTAATACTTGCCAGTGATCAGTGTTGTACAGTAACAGAGTAATTTGATGGGAAGATTGGTTAGGGAAGGGCTTCCAGTCAGCAAATTGCTTAGTTTGAGAGGAAGTTGACAGCAGTAGAAGATAAAGGGCCAATTAGAAATGGGGTTGGCTGCAATGGTGGGGAGTGATTGGAGAAGGGAGTCAAGAAGGGCTTGGCACAAGCAACAAAGTAGTTTAGTACACCATTAAAAAGGAGTTTGATAGTCAGGTGAGGTTTGGTAGTGGGAGGTGAGTGTTCTCTGGCAGAAGATGTTTGACATGGCAGGTGGACAGGGACAGGTGTTAAACACTAGCAGCATGGAATAGTTGGGGAATGAGAGCTAGAGAAAGATTTGACACTAATGAGAAAGTGGTTAAATATGAGGAGTGGGGTGCCATGGGCATTTGGTGGGGGGGCTGGTACAGGGGCTTACCAGAGATTGAGGTTGGCCTGGCACAGAGAACCAGCCTGGGATGTTTGGGGGAGGGGGCCTAGCATGGAAAATGTAAGTGGGTGGCCCAGAAGAGCTACTTCATAGGGGTTAAGAAGATGTGAAAGAATGGCAGAGGGGTCTAGCCGAGGGGAGGATTTGAGGGGTGGGGGGGCCTAG